CGATTGATGGATCTCTCGGGCTGGATATAGAAACAGAGAAATGATTCAAATTAAATATTGGTTAATTAAAAAATGGAGGAGAGCAGGAACAGGAATACAGAAGTAAACAAATAAAATGTAGATGTAACCCACAAACATATTCTTCTTGCTCTTCAAATAAAGCTTGGGGGTCCAGAAGTTAACAACCCCATCATCTCTTAGAGTCACAACGGTTCCATTAGAAGGCAAGTGGATTCTCACAACAGGCTTCCCACGTTTTAGAAACTTAATGTTAGCCGGCAATATAAAGGCTGCCATTTTACTGCGACGCAAAGTCTCTTCCTTCGCTTCGTACTCCAGGTATATGTATGTGCAGAACTCATGCTAAAAGAAAGAGAGGAAGACTTAAATAAACTTTAATAGAATTTGTTATGGAATTGTGTTCAATATTTCATGGTAAAGGTTATGAGTCTCATTCACAAATCATGTAAATACACATATTTTTGTATTAATAATATCAATATTATACTACATTATTTTGATATCCATATTATAAAATTATGAAAACACATAATATATAACATAGTATACTATGTATTCATTACGTAATACAACAATATAATTTATATTAAAAAATTAGGGATAAATTTACTTGCAAACTTAATTTCAATCATGACTTCTATTTGAAAATGTTTGCAAGCAATTTCCTGCACAAATATGTGCATTCAAAGTTACTGAATGAGACCCATTTTGACCACTTGCCCACAAAGGTTTTTATATGCAAAAACTTGACTCAAAAACAGATGCAACTGTGCATTTAACAAATTGGCTAAGAGAGCAAGTTTGAGATTTAAAGAGGAAGCAGTGAATTATTCATACCCATTCGATTTTGCCATCACAAGTGTAATCGATCTTCATGAATAGCTGGTGAATGTGAGATTCTTTCTGTGACGTTTCAAAAAGTGTTAGTCCAAAGTAATGGGTGGGAAGACAGTGAGAGAGAGAAGATTGTACAATCATACATAAAGATTTTAGGTCTTGGGTCTCCGTTAATCCATTTACACAAGCAACAGGAACTGAATACATAAACCTCTCATTACTGTATTTTTACAGTACTTACAACTCCTTTCAAACCTGGGCAGTTTTTCACAACAGATTTGAATTCTGAATAATCCAACATATGGATGCCAGCCTTTGCAAACTCCTGCTCAAGAGAACAGAATTGGAGAGTCATATTGTGTCTAATTAATCAATTAAATTAGATTTCCAAATAATCTTCACATTTTGAATACTTACATCATAGGCCAGTTTAATTTGCTTTAGATCATCAATGGACACCATCTTCTCAATCTATGTTGGACAGCAAAAATAAATTAAACAAGGCAAAAATCTCACAGAACATGTGAGTTGGAAGGAGCATGTATTTAATGTGCAAGTCTCTACAGAGAGGTTTGTAAGAAAGAAGATTACCTAAGATTAACATCATAAAGTCACCGTGATGGATGCTATTTCAGTATAAATCGACAAGTGTTGTTTGACATTTGTTGGATGATCAAACATCTTTCTGCATGTCAAACAATGAAACCACTGCTGGATTTCGACAGGTTGCTGTCACGTGTTCTGCTCCTCCTTACAATAATAAATTCACTTGAATTTGAAATGGCTTCGTTGCAACGTGATGCAATTTTTATTTTGTTGTGGATCAAAAACCCACATGCTTCATACCCCTAGATATAAGATATAGGGGTTTCTTCAACAATTTTTTAATATGATTTAAGATTAGTATTTTTTATAATGCTAATTTACCTTGGGTTCACTCTTCAATTATAAATAAAAAATCTCTGCAAATTTTTTAGCAATTTCATGTTTGAGACTGTATTTTGTGACAACAGTCTCTTTAGACAGACCTCAATTTACTCACAAATTGAAAATCGCCACTAAAAATCCATAGGAAATTGCAGAGGGAACCCAAGGTAAATTAGCCTTCCCGGCTGGCCTAGGAATTGATAATAAGCACTGCATCTGCCACAAAAACAATTAGGATTTCAATTAGGGTGACAGGATTAAACAGCAAAATGAGCACTGAAAACAGCTGAGCAACGGTTAGACTACTGAAAAATGTAGTTAGGGGTGTCCCTACTTGTAGTTATTTGCTCTCCTACTGATAAATACAGATTATAACTTTCATTCCTATTGCACTGTGCATTCAGATGGCAAATTACCTCCAGCACAAACAAATTTGGTCTTGATAAGGAAAAAAATATTGATTTGCTTTCTGGGGAGCAAGTTCAAGCACTCTGTTGAAATAAATAATGCATGTCCACTGTGTCATTTCATTCAATCACTAGTCATGACAGATTACCCTGCAATGTTTGCCCATCCAAAGGTCATCCAGCTAATGAATTAATGGATTCTGTACTTGATTCAAAATGTCATTTTAGAAAAAGAGACTACAATTTTGTCCTGCAGAAAGTTAATGATTTGGTTTTGGCATATTTAATGAAGCTTTGGTATGAGAAGAGTGACCTATTAACACTGACACCTTTAGGTTTTAAGATTGAAAGATGGTTGGCTAAAATGGCAGTTACAATGTGGTTGGTTACTTCTACATCTAAACCTGGGACATAATAAATAGCTTTTTGAAGAATTAAATATGATATGATTTAGAGCAGACAAAAGATACGAAAAGAAACATATTCTGTACATACCTAAAGTTGATGTAAAAACTGAATTCACTCAGTGGTCTGTTTACTGGTCGGTTAGAGCAGATCAGTTTAAAAAATGCAAAACAAGATTAGAATGATATGAAGGCAGGCTCTGTGCTGGAGGGGGCGGGGTTAAACATTAAATATAACCTTATATATTAAATAGTAAACATTATATTAGACTCTAATTTCATATGCAATATTATGGATCTACAAAGTGCATCAATCCAGCTGCCCAACTCCCTTATTTATCATTATAACATTTGCATTTGCATACCTGACCAGTGAGAGATGATGCTGGGGCAAGTTGCCATTCAATCTAGGTAGAATATAATTGTTGGGAAATGCAGCCAAGCAGCAGATGCTGCACAAGTGTGACCCTTTGACTTTTACCTTGAGCTCACAGAGGGTCCCAGCAGGATCTGCTCTGTAGCGTTTTCGCATGCTAAGTTTAACATCATCTCCCAGGGCAAGAGAGTGTCGTCTGGGTTCTTGCCTCAAAAGCTCTCTCTCTAGCCAAGCAGGAAGCTGCTGGCTCCTCTCAGTAGGGTCTAATATAGACCCAGTAGAATACAGAACCCCGTCAGCCTGCTGTCTGTACCGCGTGCCCTGCTTCTGGTTCAGCCCAGCCGCTCCATTCACTGGTCCAAAATCTGCCGAAATACTGCATAAGAGTGTTGCATTGAATATTTTGTTTATCATTTCTTTTTCATTCAAGTTATCGAGAAGCAACCTTGCAAATGGCCCTTTCGTGAGTCACGCATCGCCCAACGGCAAACTCAAACATCACATATACCTCTTACAGGTGCTTGTGACGGCATGTCTCAACAGGTAAAAGAAGGCTACTTTCAATACAAGATCTAACATATTAGCAATACTTTTAGCTGTGTTGCTGTGTCATGAATAACCACACACACATGTGTGTTAGGTCAGGGAATAGAATATAGTTTGCACATAAAAAGTATTGTCTATGGGATCTCCCCATAAAACATGAAAACCCAACATGTGTGGGTGGGTGTGTGTAAATTACAGATTTAAATAATAAAATTGTAGTTGTACATTTTACTGTATTTTTACAGAATTATTTGGTCAACCACAGCTGCCAGTTTTTTGTTGTTGTTTTTATAGGGAGAACTTTACACCTCCTAAATTTCATTTTGCAAAGCGAAAGCCAAGAGTATGTTAGGTCAAATTTAAATTAGAGTCAAGTAATATTTTCATATTTGTCTGTCAAAACATAAATGAATTAATCTTCAAGGACACAAACTGGTTCCAGCATGGCAACAGCATTATCCATATTCCCTGGCAACAGTAAACACTATGAACAACAGGAGGAGTGACATTCAAGGTCAGGAGCTGGAAAATAACCGAATACCAATGTGGTACGATACATAGTCCTCATACTGAAATGAAAGTCATGAAGCAGAACAAATTAGTCTCTGTATCAGGAGTTGTTTCAAAGTGGTGCTGAGCAACTGAAATGCTTAAATATGGGAACTGGAAGCCATGCCAAGATGTAGATAAATGAAAAGCATAAAGCAGAATACCTGGGCTTGTTATGGGTCTCAAGTTGGGCTCCAGCAGATGAGGCCCGAGTTTTCCTGCCTAGCGGCATAACTGAAGAGATCTGAGAGTATCTTGTCTTTTTCGGCTTGGCTTCCGTTCTCTTTAGAGACTGTTTGCTTGTTTTGCAAAGGCGCTTAGAGACACAGCACACCTGAGTCTCAGGTTACCTGATACACAAAACCGAGTGGAGTGGCTACGCATGCATTGTGATGAGACACATTTAAAACCACTTTTAAATTTCATAACGTTAAAAATACCTTTTAAGCAGACACGTCTGTTCACCATAAACTAATTTTCTTAATTTCCAGGGGGAAGAAAACTTTTCACTCTTCGTTTTTCAGTTTTAAACTTTTTTTAAGATACCTGTGGTATTAAGATTAAAGTGAAATTAAATTGTTTTGTTTGCGTGTCTTTTCTATAGCTTGCTGCAAATCCCTACCTCTTTATTGTGCTCTGCATAATAAATCAGTTCACCTGATGTTATTGATTTATACCTTTACTATTATTTTATAAAGTCAAAATACATAAAATATCTATCTCCAAAATCTCAAGAGACAAATGATTCATGATTTTTTCCCATGTATTTTTAGCGTAGTAAAAATCTCAACAACAAAAAAAGAACTGTGTATAGTCAAAATGATTTATGTCTGTTTTCAGTTTATTTTGAGTGTTTTATTAAGGACATCATCAAAGATGCATAAAGGCATATCATTATATTAGAGTGTTCTGACTCCTGGAAGAAAATCAGAACCCTAAAAAAGACTGCACAAATATTCATATAACTTTTCATGATTCAAAATGCCATGTTTATAAAGGCCCAGGCCAGGCAGACATCCTCTCCAGTGTGGAAGGAGCTTGCATGAATACACCAGTATTCTTCACCTTACATCTATGAGAAGAGGAGCTGCTTATGTGCAATGTCTTCAAATCCTTCTTTTCTGGTAAAAGACAAAATAATAATAAAAAATATATATTTTTAACACTTAACAGGCTACACTGTAGGAATTATATTTATTTCTGCTTTTCAAGCAAGTTCGGTAGGATTTCTAGAAGGATGCTCGTTATAATTACATTTTTTTTTAACATTTTTACAGTTTTATAATGAAGTATAACAACTTTTGCTACGACTGATCTAATTTGTTTGATTTTAGTGTGAAGTTTTAAAATCACGGAAATCTTAAAATCAGGGGAAAAAATTATACATTTCTAACAGTAAAAATGTAACTGAATAATTTAGTTGAACTTTGGTATTCTAAAGATTCAGTAAGAACACACAGCATCACTCTTTCTCACCTTTATCAGATAATTTCTTACAAATCTGTAGAAACGTCTGTGGTGGGATTGAGTTGAGCACTGAGGAGACATCTGTATGTCTGCTTCCAAAATGCTTATTGTAGGTGGTCTGCAGTTTGCTGTTTTCCTGATTATTGATGTGGCTGTGAATCACTGTTGGGACTAAAATGTAAAAGAAAAGTGTCATTCTTCTCTAATTTGTGTGCCATACTGGTGCCATAAGATGACAAACATGTTCAGCTTTCTTTAGTGTGTAAATGTTGCTGTTTGAGTATGAAAAAGGTCTGCACAGCTACAAAGCAGGCACAAAGTCCACAAGGGAGTTACTCTCTACTGTATATCAGTAAGCACCGTTTCTGAACTCCCTCCTGAAACGCCTCGATTATACTGTTGAGTTTTCTTCCAGGAACGTCCACGGCACAAACACTTAAATAGTTCCCGCCCAAGGCATACATAAAAATAAATAGATGAGTCCTGGTCAAAGACTATAGATATAGAAAGACAGTTCACTCCTATTACTTATGAATGGGAGAAACTGCAACGCGCAATATGGCGGAATACATACCGCCTTGTAAGTAAAAGAGCCAATCACTGATTGATAAAGTCATTGCGTCAATGGAGCTGCAGTTAGAAGCTCACGCTTAAAGCTGCCGTCGGCAACATTTTTTTGATCATATTCAGTGAAATCGACACTATAATCTGACAGAACAACATAAATAAAGTGGTTTTAGAAAAAACCCGAGCTTCTAACTCCACCTGGAGCTTGTTATTTGTTTTGCAAAAATCCACAGCTCATCATGTTCATCATGTCCAATCAGCGCAGGGGGGTGTGAGATCTGACTGTCAATCACAGATCGGGCACACGCCAACCCTCGCGCACGTTACAATCACATACACACGCCTGAAGTTCGCGGAAGTTCGCGCAGTAACGAAGAGTGATGGCGGAAAATCAAGTAAGCTCATTTAGAGTATAAATGACGTTAGCAATTGCAATCTATCGGTAGATTAGCCAGGACAGCATACCTCCAAATACTCCATGGTGTTGATGGATGCTGATGAGACGGGCGTGTTCCAGGGCTCTCAAGTTTTGAAGACAGGTAAGAGTGACACCCAGCCGACGGGGGGTTGGATACATTTTTGTCATTGGTTGTTGCGTTAAATCTTACCCAGATACAATAGTGCTATTTTCTGATTGGCTATTGTGTAGCTCGACGCACAACACCAGAGGAAACGCGCTTGATTCATGCCGGTTCCACAGTGAGAGCGGCGCGGCCAGAGTTTTGGGCGCTGCGGCATATTAAATATATTACAAATAGTTTTTCAGCGTGAGAAATACAATGTGTGGCGGGAGAGCGTGACAAAAGACCGAAATGAGTGACTGTCACGCTCAATGCGTGACACTTGAGAGCCCTGGCGTTCACTGAAAATCTGGTGCACACGCACTGACGAGCATGAACTGGGTGGGAGGGTATCCGTTGATAGTGGGGGAGGGGCATGAGAGTTGTAAACATTCAAAATTTTCCTAAATCCACTCAATCTGCCAGACTTGCCGACTGGAGCTTTAAGACTGCACATGCGCATTGGCTGTTCTAGCCTGAAAATAAGCTTTGTTAACGCTATTTGATTACAAGAAACAACATTTATGGGTCAGTTCATGTCAGATTTTGTTGCTGATTTGAAATATGTTATTTATTTGTGAGTTCGACAAGCAGTTTTTGATATTTCAGGATTCCCCCATTCAAATAGATAGGACTTGGTCTTGGATGCCCGAAATAGCTGCCCGGAGGCGTTGCAAATATGGCCGCCGAGGAACAGACTTTCCTTGAAAGGGACTTTGGCCTGGTTGATTTGGGTAATGGTGTGTTGAAACTTGCAGTTATGGTAAGGGGTGTGATATTTCTGAAACATACTCAAAGCGGTTGACCAATCACAACACACTGGTCCAGCCAACCAATCAGAGCACATTGCACTTTTCGAAAGGAGGGGTTTCATAGAGACAGGAAGTAAATAGAGCGTTACTGACAGACTGGGAAGAGAGGTGCTACAACAATGTAAAATATGTGCAACATAATTCGTTTTTTTTTACCATGAAAACCTATTCTATAGTAGACCCTTTTAAGACCCTCAAGACTTTGTAAAAGGGCATAATAAGGCAATTATTTAACAATATTTTAATGATTATAAAGTGTACTTTGTAATTGTCAACTAACTGATGGATTAAGTCAATTAACTTGCAATTCAACTTGTAATTCATTGCATGTCTAGTTTACTTGTTTGTGTTTGCATTGTGTCTTGGCTACTGACAGGGTTGGTTGTCTTAAATTTCAAACAATGTAGTTTGGTATTTTAGTCATCTTCATTTATATAGCGCTTTTAACAATGTAGATTGTTCCAAAGCTGCTTTACAGTGATAATAGGAAATTAAAGTAACAGATTGTTTTGGCTTTATGACAGCTCTAGAATAAAGTTATTTTCCAGCTAAAGTTAGTTTTGATTGATTCGCTTCCGTCGCAAAGATCATTAGTTATTAACTTAGGGGCCGCTAACACGACACCGTTTTAACAGAAAACTCTTAAGTTCACTCTACGCAAACTTTAAAAAATGCGAACCTGTGAGAACGCTGATAGCGTGCACATGCGTATTAAGAGTTCATTCTATAGGTATGCGCGTTTGAATAATGTGCGCAGGGATGTAGTCCTTCCCTAAAAAACCAACCCTCAACAAACTACTTGTCTGGCCTAAAAATTTATTATACAGAATTGTATCGCTTCGGCGTAGCCACGTGAACCGGAATTATCCCGACAACGATTATCTGTACAGAGGTAAAGGGAAGGAGGCCTTCACAGGGGAGGGACTAGTTGACTCTTCAGGACTGCATTGTCATTTTAGCCTAGTTGAAACAGAAGTGTTGCAGGTTTGCCGAAGCTTACCAATACCCCTTGCTGCTATACCATGCAGCTTATTGCACCCATAGCGAGAGTTGTTCCCCAGAAGCTCAAGTTTTGATTGAGGTGGGCGGTAGTTGTCTCTCATTTCAGTCTGGGTATAGTAGTGGACAGCATGACTGTGGTTAAAAGGAGCAAAGATTGCATGGTTCTTCATAATCCCTGTGATTCGGACAGAATATAACACAGACATTGAGATGTTTCAGTCATAATAAGATATCTTTGGAACCACAAGACCTTGACATTAAATAAGATTCAAATGCCTTTCAGTGTATACACCTATAATGTAATTCTTAGAACTCACCTTGGGGTAATCCAATAAAGTCAGTCTGGTAGGTTGACCTGTACTGGGCACTCAGAGCCTTTTGGATTTCCTTCTCAGTCAAAGAAAGTTGAAGAGAGGAACTACCATCAAAGTGTTTAATTTGATCTGCATTATGTCTCCACACCATGAATGCCTTTGTGATAAAAGAGATAAAATGATGGTACACTCTTTCCAATGTTCTTTAAACTGGAAAAAGTTTCTTCAGATTAAGATGTTCTTCACACTAGCCTTTAAGACCCGTTCACACCAAGAACGATAACTATAAAGATAACTATATTCGCGTCTACAACGAAGAACGATAACGGTCTTTTTATTCTAAGCATGCGCACTCGCGCTGCGGTTTCAAAGTAGCAAAAATGGATGACCTGCTGCTGCTTTACTTTACACAAAAACAGCAAAAGAAAAACAGGCGCTTTTGGGTACACGATATCCTTAAGAGACGAGAGGAGTTGGGAGAATCCGTCACTCTGATTAGAGAGTTGTCGTCTTTTGAAGACAAATTTTATTCATACTTTCGAATGAATCAATATCAGTTTGTTTACACGTCTTTTACCAGGGCAGCAGTCCTCAGCATGCTACGTTTTGAGCGCATCTAAACAGTGAATCTAGCTAGCTAGTGTAATCGATCTAATCTAACAGCGAATTTACTGGAGCTGACGAAGTCAATAGTGGAATAAAAACAACGCCGAGTCAACACCAGGGTCGGCGCCAGGACATACGGAACGAGGGGGCCTCGATGTGTCACTGGGGGGGCCTACGGCGCCTACCTACACCCACTTTTAATAAAAAATAAAAAAACATCATGCCACCATATACCCGACACCTTTATATATATGGGTGGTTGACGTGAACTCAAATCCAAAGTGGAAAAAAATATATTTCTAAAATGCATGTCAAATGACATATAATTATATTGCTTAATATGTGAAAAACTCAAAACTGAATGTGTCCCGTTCTATTTCCTTATTTATTAAGCATTTTATTAACTTTTTTTGTGTGGTAGTCCCACATATTGTCCACCGGTTTGACAACATTTTTAATGTTAATATTTAATTCAGAGATTGTGTGACAGATAAGACAAATATGCACAATCCTCATCAATTTGTCCTAACTATATTCCCACATCAAAAGTAACCAATACAAATTCACAATCATGTTATTATCCTACTATAAGATGTACATATAGGGACTTTACCCAAACATCTGGATTATATTCATTATAATTAGTATAAAACCTAATGAAGCTTCATTTCATCCTTATATGTGCATAGTGATGATATCATTATTATACTATTCAACACTTTTTACATTAATTTGTGCATTGAAATGCCTTTTCCACTTATAATTCAGTTGGTCACACCACAGGACACTCCGTCACACCATTGGACAACAAGAATTGTTTCCTTTTTAAAAAAAAAAATATATATACATAAAAAGGCAGGAAAAATGGTCTGTGCTACCTTTATAGTCTTTATTCTAAATATTTAAACCACTTTGCAGTCTAAAAACATTAAATTATAAGATTAAATGGCTCTGAAGGAAAGAAATGTCGGATACGTTTTGAAGTAACACCACAGATGTAATATAACACCACAGATGTAATATTGCATAAAGGTTTAACAATTAAGTTTATTGAGCAAAAGAATGAAATTCATCATGAGTAGGATTACAAGAAGTAATTGCTCTGATAAAAGAACATTTAGACAAAAACTGCATTAACAAATATAATTAAAACAACCTGCAACCTGTTTCTCACTCTCTCAAAAATTGTCTGCACAATGGATTGTATTGCAATCACAATGTTTGAATCTGTTTCAATAAAGATCAGAAAATCTTTCAAAAAATCAGAAAATCTTTCAACAACAAAAAATTCAGAACATCTTCAGTGAATAAATAATGTATCCACAAACGTATTTAATACAAAACATAAAAAAAAATAAAAAATCAGTACATCTTCAGTGAATAAATCTCTCTCTGCTTTCTTGCCCTGTATTCTGCCTTATATATTCTCCAGTTCTTCCTTGCTGCTCTCTTTCCCCTCTCTGGGAGATATGTTTTTTAAATAGGTCTGTTGTTTCTTTTGAAGGAACTCTGCTCTTCGAACTGGGTCTGCATCTCTGCGCTGTCTATAAAGCACTATATAACATTTTTAACCAAAAAAAGTGGTTATGTTGTGAATATAGATTTTATTTAACATGTACAATTTTATTAAATTGTTTTAAAAAATACATATTTTGTAATATCTAAGAAAAAAGTAGTGTTCCCCAAATTCATGTCTGTGGTGTTACATCAATGGATGTCGCCCCTTGCAGAAAAGGGGAAAATCTGTTTGGACTATATGCTTTTCATCGGGCCATACCTGACAAGAGAGATACATTTATATGATTACTGATGTCCTATGCGTTTTATTAAAAATACAACATTACTGGTATATTGTCTGTGGAGTTACTATAGAGTCTGTGGTGTAACCAGGAAAGACAGTAACAACACAGACAAATTAGCCTAAATCCAGACTTTTCTAAAATGGAGGCTGCCATCATGATTATTTCAAGATCAGGGGATATTATGGAAATATTAATAAGTATGCATTTATCTAAATTTTTATTAAAATATGTAAAATCTGCAAGTTATCAACATAACATGCAGACACTAATAATGTGCGACACACGAAATTGTCAGGAATTTAGCTAACTTTAAGAAATTGAATAATGTGCTCCCCATGCACCCCTCAGATCAACCAGCACCTGCAATGACCTTTACACAAAATCATGATGTCTATCATGGAATCTATATCCACAATATAACCACTTTTTTTTGGGTTAAAAATGTTATGTAATTACATTCCATGATATCTCTCTGAGGTATGGTGGGAACATGCAATTTTGTTACAAATGCAATCTCTCAAACTCAATTAAATATGTATTTTAAAACTAAAGTTTATCTATTAATAGTGCACAAATTGTGTTTATCCTACAGAATACAAAAATGCAAACATTTTAGAATTGATTGGTATTTAAAGGGATAGTTCACCCAAAAATTAAAATTCTGTCAGTAATTAATTACTCTCCCTCATGTTGTTCAACCCTGTAAGACTTTCGTTCATCTTCGGAACACGAATTAAGATATTTTTGATTAAATCTGAGAGCTGGATCACTCCTCCATAGGCTTCTAGGGGATTGAAACTTGCCGGCCTCGAAAAGTTATTAAAGACATCGTTAAAATAGTCCAAGTGACTACAGTGGCTCAATCTTAAGTTTATCAAGCGACGAGAATACTTTTGTGCGCAAAAACAAACAAAAATAACGACTTTATTTCAACTATTCATTTCCTTCTCTGTGGGCCTCGAGTCAGTTAAACTAGTGTGATTGCGTAGAGCTACGTCACACGTAGGCTCACTATTGGCCGGCGCTGGTCATGTGTGTGATGCGTGTGACGTACAACAACAGAAGCGTACGCTGTTACCTGGTCACTAGTAACCTGACTCGAGGCCCACAGAGAAGGAAATGAATAGTCTCATTACGGGGTTGGAACAACATGAGGGTGAGTAAATAGAATTTTTATTTTTGGGTGAACTAACCCTTTAAAGTGAATTTAAACTGTTGTAAAGTAGAGGGACACCACTTGCCACCACAAATGAAGAATGACCCACCCCTTGATAGAGCCTAAATCCACTGGTGTGACAGCCATTTCCACCAGTGTGACGCTGATTTCATGTCACACTATAGGACAGTGCTGTCACACCAGTGGACGTGTTCAAGATCAAGGCCAGTTTGCGGCCTAGCTATATGAGAGACAGTCTTTAATCCTGACTAACAGTGTTAAGGTTTACATTATTTTCAATAGTCAATCAATATAAATTGATGAAAATTTTCAGATCAATACTTAAATAACGTCACACCAAAGGACTGCATAATGGATCCCATTTCCAGCAGTGCACAGAAATAGCAATATTATCAAAATATTTGAGACAGAACTCACCTTGTGTGCAGTCCATGTGCTCCAGTGAGGTCTACTGTACTTCATGGATGAAGAAGGGCCCCTCTCAGTAATAGGGTGCCCAAATTAATGCCTGTTTCATATCTACAGAATGGCGTCACACCAGGTGGACACCAGTTTTGCGGACAAAATGTAATGTGTCATAATTATTCTAAATGGGGACCTTAAGACTTATAACCTTTAGTTTCATTAAGTTAACACTACTATAATATCTATTCAAGTATTTTAATGTATTTAGACTTATTTTTCATTTAATTAAAGTAGGTTTAAGATAAGGAACGCTAACCCGGACAGTCACGCCAGTGGACAAATGTCATGTTTAAAACAAAATATTTACATATTTGAATTATAATGCTCATTAGTTACAGATGTATTAGTTCTGGAAGATTAAACTGTATATAAAAACTGATATTTTAATAAAATATTATACATTTTTATTTATATTTGTCACTATGGACACAAAAATGGAGCGTCACGTCAACCACCCATATATATACCACGCCCTTTTCACTGCAACTTCAAAAGAAACAATAGCCTACAATGTTGTCGAAACTAGCGCTGCATAAGTTACCTGAGGTAATTTTGTTACACTAGGATTTGCTAGCCTGCATAATTATCTCATCATTAATACTTCACCATTTATTCCAAGGGTACGACCGATTGCTCCATTACATCCATTTTTTTTACTTGTCCTTGAAAGGGGGTTTTGACTTGTCAAACAGTGTTGGATTTTTCTGTAACTTCAATGAACTTTTCCACAATGTCGTCTGCATTTTAAATGCACGAGCGCAGTTTTAAACTGGAGTGGATTCTGATTGCTGTCAGTGTTTTATCGTTCGACAGCAGGAAAAAAATCTTTCTAAAAGTGACCCCAACGATCTCGTTCCTCATTTCTTTATCGTTACAGTTGTGGTGTGAACTGTGCTATTCTTTAATATAAAGAACGATTTTTAGAACTATATATTTATCGTTATCTTTATAGTTATCGGTCTTGGTGTGAACGGGCCTTAAAGGCAGGGTAGGCAGTTTGTTTCTAAAATACTTTTTCCCAAATTTGTTTAAACTGTCTTTATATACCAATACATATCTAAAATGTAAGTACACTGAAAAGGAGAGTATAAAAATCGAGTGTCTGTAGTCCTCTCAGGGCTGCAATAAACACAGCTACTCTTTCCATTCGGAATGAATGCAATGATTGGCTGGGCGACTGTCACTCTCCCTCGCTACCATGGCTACCACCCCTGCTGCTACAGGAGCTGCCCACATGCGCGCACCCGATTGACTCGCTCATTTCGAAAGAGGAGAGGCACGTACCGGCCGGAAGGTAGGAAGTCTCACAATTATGGCAGAGAAAGAGCAGTCAAAATTCCCAGTACCACCAGTACCTGCATATACAGTCAACGCAGGCAAACAAGGTAAAAAAAAAGGTGATGTCACTCCATGCACTGCGCTCCTCTAGGCTCGGAGCTGGTAAACGCGTCCTCATGTGTTTTGGGGGCGTGGCTTTGGAAGGAGCCCAGAAGGGATGGGGTGGGAGTTTCTCTGTTGGATACTTTCAAAATCCAGCAGTTTTCTGCTAGTTTCTCAAACTTACCTACCCTGCCTTTAAGAAATAAAAACTGAAAGGTTCCTTGTGGAACCAAAGATGGTTCTTATGGAATCTTTGTAAAAAATAAAATTAAAATAAAAACCATTGGAACCTTTATTTTTAAGATTGTACATTCTAATGTTTTTCCAAACATGTATGAGACTTTCTTTCTTCCATAGAACACAAATATAGTCCTACTGTGCTTTTTTTAAATTTAACAGTATACACATTCATACAAGCATTAGTAAGCAGACGCTTTCAAATTATACACTACAAACAAATCAAATTACAAAATGTGCCATTCACCTGGCTTGGGTGTGGGTTGTTCCTTCTGTTTCCTGATGCTGTGGCAGACCAGGCAGTCTTTGACACAGGCTTCCAGCAGAAGTCTTCACTGTATGCAGTTGCTCCCATTGGATCATCCAATGCATATGAATTTCTATAGATCTTGCCAGATGTTTTCGGCCTTGTGTTTGAAACAGATAAAAAAAAAGAAGAGAGAGATGATTCTCAACTCAGATATTTTGCATCACTTCTGTTAACAGGAAACTCCCCATATTAGAGTTGAAGTAGATGAGATACAGGGCTCTCAAGTTGTGAAGACAGGTAGAGTGACACCCAGCCGGGGGGTGGGGGGGATGGATACATTTTTGTCATTGGTTGTTGCGTTAAATCTTACCCAGATACGTGTGGCGGGAGAGCGTGACAAAAGACCTCAATGTGTGACACTTGAGAGCCCTGGAGATAGGTCTATAGATTAAATCTCTTTGATGAGAAGTTTCATGCACATCACATTTTTTGTTAACATCTACATTAAAATGGACAGTGAAAAAAACATGAACTATACTGAAGTAACACTGAAAATGAACTAAATAAAACATTTTTAAAAAGCATATCACAATATAAACTTGTCTAACCATAATTTGCCATCTTGACAGATATGAAATATCTGGCTCTGTTGTCCAAACGACATAATGTCTCCAGAATCTGAGATTTATGTGCTGTTCACCAGAACCTCCGTCGTTTTACAGTGAGAATCAAGAAGATAAACTTTGAAGCCTGTTAATGCCCATCTAATCGGATGTTTTCTGTAAGATGGCGTTGTTAGGAAACGCACAACAACGGGTGCGCGAGAGGAAGCTGACGCTCCGCGGGGGTCTTTCCCCACGTCTTTTTCCTCACCCAAAAACCAGCTGATAGTGTCAAGCGACCAAAGAGGTTGTAGACAGCACACTGAAATCTATATTCCAAGTAGGCTATATGATTACATTTTGACTGAAATAATTACCCTATAGCCTATGCAAAACAAAATATTAAAACATGCAAAGCATGTGTATGCATTAACTATACTAGTCTACAAGCTGTAGGCTATTTCCTTTCCTTTTCCTTTTGTTTCTTAATACTAAAAAAATCGTTACCGTTAAAGAAACAGAATCAGTAAATTCGAGCCAGTTCGATTTTATTTGGGCGTAGCGCCGCTCAGTGGAAAACATGATATAGTGCATTTCAAGATTTCCATTTTCTTTTAATTATTAGCTATTATTATTGCCAGGGATCACAAAAACATACACGAATGGAAAGTAATAATAATATATAGGCTACATGTGAGGAATAAAAAGCACTAATTAAAAAATAATACAATAATAATAACAACAACAACAATAAAATAAAATAAAATAAAATGTCTCGACAAAATATATTGCATCCTTTATCAAAATAAATTAAAAGGGCAGCACAGGTTTACCGTCTTGAGTTCTTGGAGAATTTACAACGATGATTGTGAGAGTTGTCAAGGAGCAATGAAAGATTGATAATAAAGTACTCAGTCTTTTTTTGTTTTATTCATGTTACAGAAACTTTAAAGATTACCATTACAAACTCAGAACCAACAACGATGACATCACTAAAATATTAAGTCCTAAAACATTGCCTGTGATTCATCTATGTCACGTTTATTAAATCCGCGTGTTATGAATTTTCTAAAAGAGAAAAACGAATCAATAAATTAATACATGATCAATTATTGTAATAACATTTTCACTAGTTTGTTTAATGTAAAATTCGTGCAGCTAGGGATCTAATCAGCTTTTGCATTTGCACGACTTCAAAACAGGCACGCAAATAAATACAGGCTATGTGAATATGCAATTGAGTGATAAATATGGACAGTAATGTATGCTTTGCGTTCTCATCAGAAAATTTGGCGGAGCTTATAGGCCTACTGTTGCTGATTGTGTACGCAATAAATTTTGTTTGCGGCAAAAATAATTTTAAATGCTTTTGAAGCGTTCCTTACCAAATATACAAAATTAAATGTGTTTAATGCTTTGTAAAACTCACAACAATTTGTGTTAATTATCTAGGGGGATTAAAACAGTCTTTAGGGGCCCAGACCCCTCCAAACTCCCGTAATTCGCACCCTGGTAGAAAGTACACTCTTCTTCTTTTTCTCTTCCGACAGTTATCAGCGTGCAGTTGTGCTGTGAAATCTTTGAAATACTATGTTTTTAAAGCAAATATTCATAATACAATTTGAAACCTTTACTTCGACGACAACGGTGTACTTACATGTACTACAGTGTGTTCACAGCAGTACAAAACGGTGTCTGATAGAGTTGTGACGTTCGCGAACGAACCGATTCTTTTGAACGGCTCATAAACATGAACGATGGGAGCCGAGTCGCGGCTGAAGGGGAGCCGTTCTTTCTGTCGTTCTTTTTTTATGCGTGTTTCACACAGATGCACACAAATTAGCTCCTCAGTTATAGGGGAAGGGGCGCACCCAGCGCAGGGGTGCTACTGCCTAACAGCATGATGATAGTTGTGCACGCGCGCGCATCCTTTACGTGAGTACTCCAGTGGGAAAAAACCCTACGTGCTGTCATTGGGTAGGAGCAGAGCCAATGACTTATGCCGTCACATGGTTACTCCAGTAAAAAAAAAAAAAAAAAAAACCCCACTAAAGTAACACTAAGTTCCTTTGTAAATAAATACAAAGGAACTGCTTTGTATTTATTTACATTGCATTTTGTGTTCATGTTATTGTATCTACAGTATATATTTACAACTTTAAATAGTTTTTGTTTTTTATCAAAATGTTCTTGTGGTATTGTATGAATAACATAAGTCAACATAGCTTTACACATACACATACTTTGTACTAAAGGTAAATCCAAAATAGTGATATCACTTTCTAAGCAGAGGGATGTTGTGCAACCCTATGGAATATAGTCCACACATGACAAATGAGGTAATAATCAATATTTCAGAATAATTCAAACTCAGATATTGGTGTGTGATATCTGAGTTTTAATTAATTGACTACAAATCTCACCTCATCATTCCTCCCAGTGATTATTTCCAGGATAAACTGAGATTCCCCCAAGCTGGCTTCTTTAAACTGACTAAATATTTAAAAAGAGCCAAAAGAGCCGTTCTTTTGAACGGCTCTTTGAAAGGAACGGATCGCAAAGATCCGGATCTCCTCAAAGAGCCATAAATCCCATCTCTAGTGTCTGAAACTATTGCACTTGCACCAATGTATGGTTTTTCATATTCACGCGCCGTTGAAAAAATGTGACGTTTCCCCGATGAACAGCCAACCACACCTCAGCTCTCGTAGGGACTATAGTGCGCCGACAGCCAATCGCGGGCGCTCAGGACTTGGCGGTAGCCAATAGGATTCGTGACTGTATACTGTGTCTCTCGTGAGCGGAGGGTTCTGCAAGCACTTGGAAGAGCGCGCATCGGTGTTATTGTACTTCAAAGCCCCATTATCTAGGCATCCACAGAAGCTGCAAATAGAGAAGACTGGTGAGTTTTGTCAAAATAGGCTTGTCAAGGCCTTAACGAACTATTTTTTAAATTGCGTCGTATATTACAACACATTTACCTTGGTAGTTGCGTGGTAATTTCGTGAACGCAGGGCGAGCAATCTTTGTCAGAATCTATTCGCCAGTCATTCAGTCATAGTGAAATGTCCTGAATGGAAAAATCGTCTGAAGATAAAAAAAATATTGCATTTTTCTTGTGAAATGACAGTATTAGAATAGTCTTCATTAGGGTGGGATGTAATATTTACAAGGTAGCCATCCCAGCTAAAGCAGTTAGCTTTTTGAGGTCTTTTTGGGGTGTTATTGTGTCAGTCAGTGACGTGCTTGGCATTGACACAAAAACACTAAAATACACCCCGGATAGATTTACCAGTCCCGAGGGAATGTTCTCGTCATTTTGTGCATTTTTCTCTCTGAACGGGACGTGTGCGGCCGTGTTCTGTAATATAATATGGTTGGCTTGCGGAGGATATACTCTGCGTTTTGCCCGTGAGTGGCGGGGGATGGAGACGGACGGGGTGTAAGCGACATTCAACTTAACTAATAAAATGAAATTCATCCAAGCTCGTCTCCATTGCTTTTTCAACTCGCATAAAAGCCCGATGGTCTATTTCAGGGAACGCCGGTGTTTTCCAAGAGAACTCGAGCGAGAAAGAGGGAATACAATTATATTTATACTGTTTCCCACCGCCAGTGTTGTGTGTGTGTGTGTGTGTGTGTGTGTGTGTATGCGGCTCTGGTTAGCAGACATAAAGGGAGAGAGCGAGAGGAAGCCATGTTGGCTCTGCTAGCTGTGCTCATGTGGCTCCAGTTGAACGGCGGCCTTACGAGAGCGAAACTCCCATTGCATTGCGCTTATAGTTACAGACACTGTGTCCATACCGACCGACTTCTTCCATAGGGGAGGCGAAATATCGGAAGGCGGCGGGACAGGGGCGAAAAACGGACAAAGTGCGGTGATTTTAGGTCCTAGAAATTACCCAGGAATGTGGGAGGAGACAATTGAGGGGGACTTTCTCTCATGAAGACAGCTTTTTCAAAATGGAAGAAGAAATATTATTGTTGCAGCATTTAGGCATTTTAAGGCGGGCCCTATGTAATCTATCTGCCCGCTCATGGTCGATGCTGCTATCAATGTTCCGTTAATGAGAAAAACACATAATGGAAAATAAAATAGTGGGAATGAATATTAAATCATTAAATATGTTATTTTATTCACGAAATGGAGGATGTCCTTGTCTTTCACCCTGAACCCGAGGCGGTCTTTGTGCATCTCACCATCCATCTCAATAATATGATTTCACTGCACATTTCATCATTAATAATTTTTTCAGTTAGTGCAAGTATGTCCATCACAGTACATAATAATGACTATATATATATATATATATATATATATATATATATATATATATATATATATATATATATATATATGTATAATTAATTTTAAATTGTAGTGAACAAATACATTTTAGAAGTAGGCCTACATCTACATTTAGGAAGCATTTACAGGAAGCAAATGCATAAATCCATATAAATGTGTGTGTGTGTGTGTGTGTATATATATATATATATACATATATAAAAAAAAAAAAAAAAAAGTTATAATAAATAATTGCA